TATTGATTTGGGTCTTTTCTCTTCTTTTTTTAGTTAGTTGGGCCAATGGGGTGTCAATTTTGTTTATTTTTTCAAAAAACCAGCTCCTCGTTTGGCTGATTTTTTGTAATGTTTTTCTTGATTCAATCCTGTTGATTTCTTCTCTGGTTTTAATTATTTCTCTTCTCCTACTAGATTTGGGTCTGGTTTGCTGTAGGTTTTCTAGATCCTTGAGGTGAATAGAAAGCTCATCTATTTGGTGCCTTTCCAATTTCTTGATGTAGGCACCTATTGATATAAACTTTCCTCTTAACACTGCTTTTGCTGCGTCCCATAAGTTTTGGTATGTTGTGCTGTTATCCTCATTTACTTCCAGAAAGTTTTTGATTTCTCTTTTGATTTCTTCTATGACCCATTGTTCATTCAGGAGCATGTTGTTCAATCTCCATGTGTTTGCGTATGCTCTCGGGATTCCTGAGTTGCCAATTTCCAACTTCATTCCTTTATGGTCTGAGAAGCTGCATGGTATGATTCTAATTCTTTTGAATTTGCTGAGACTTGCTTTCTGGCCTAGTATGTGGTCAATCCTAGAGAAGGTTCCATGTACTGCTGAGAAGAATGTATAATCTTTAGCTGTAGGATTGAAAGTTCTGTATATATCTGTTAGATCCATTTGGGCTATAGTGTCGTTTAAATCTGTATCCTTGTTGATCTTCTGTCCTATTGATCTGTCTATTTCTGAGAGTGGAGTATTGAAGTCCCCCAGTACTATTGTATTGGAATCTAAATCTCCCTTTAAGTCCCTTAACAAATCTTTTAGATAAACCGGTGCCCTGTAGTTAGGTGCATATACATTGATAATTGTTATATCTTCCTGTTGAATTGATCCCTTAATCATTATGTAGTGTCCCTCTTTGTCTCTCTTAATGGTTTTTGTGGTAAAGTTTATGGTGTCTGATATTAAGATGGCTACGCCTGCTCTTTTTTCATTTCTGTTGGCATGGTATATCTTTTTCCAGCCTTTCACTTTCAGTCTGTATGGATCTTTGTTGGAAAGATGTGTTTCTTGTAAGCAGCAAATAGATGGGTTTTGTTCCTTAAGCCAATCAGTGAATCGGTGTCTTTTAACTGGACAGTTCAGGCCATTCACGTTCAATGTGACTAATGATAAGTGGTAACTTTGCCCTGCCATTTGCCAAAGATAAGTTCTAATATATGCTTTGAATTCCCTGTGATCTTTTGCTGTGAGCTTTCCTTCCTTGGTTTCCTTCCTTTACCTTCTTTCATATTGATGACCGTGTTTCTTTTTTTCTGTGTGTAACACATCTTTAAGCATCTTTTGTAGGTCTGGACGAGTGGCAACAAATTCTTTAAATTTCTGTTTGTTATGAAAAGTCTTTATTTCACCTTCATTCACAAATGATAGCTTTGCAGGATATAATATTCTGGGCTGGCAGTTTTTCTCTCTTAGTACCTGGGCTATATCTTGCCATTCCCTCCTAGCTTGTAGAGTTTCTGATGAGAAGTCAGCTGTGAGTCTGATTGGAGATCCTCTGAGAGTAATCTGACATTTCTCTCTTGCACATTTTAGGATCTTTTCTTTATGTTTCACTGTGGAGAGTTTAATTACAACGTGCCGTGGTGAGGGTCTCTTTTGGTCGTGTTTATTAGGGGTTCTGTGAGCTTCCTGTACTAGGATTTCTCTGTCCTTCTCCAAACCTGGGAAATTTTCTGCTAATATCTCACTAAAAAGGCCTTCTAATCCTTTCTCCCTCTCCATGCCTTCAGGAACTCCTAGAACCCGAATGTTGGGTTTTTTAATAGTATCCTGAAGATTCCCGACAATATGTTTCAGATTTCTAATTTCCTCGTCTTTTCTTTGGTCTGACTGTATCCTTTCCTGTTCTCTGTCTTCTAAGTCCGAAATTCTCTCTTCTGCTTCTCCCATTCTGTTTGTAAGGCTCTCTATTGTGTTTTTCATTTGATCTATTGAATTCTTCACTTCAGTCACTATCCCAGTTTCCTGTTGTACTAGTTGTTTCGTTTCATTTTGATTCCTCCTTAATATTTCATTTTCACGAGAGAGATTTTCTATCTTGTCCATTAAGGATTTCTGTAGTTCAAGAATTTGTTTTTGAGAACTTCTTAATGTTCTTATCAATTTTTTGAGATCTGCTTCTTGCATTTCTTCTATGTCATCATCCTCATAATCTTGAATTGGGGTGTCTTTTTCATTTGAGGGCTTCATGGTGACTTCCTTGTTTTTATTACCTTGGTTTTTGCGTTTGTTATTTGTCATATTGGAGATATTTGGTTTCTTCACTGTGGTGCTTTTTCTTGTTATACTATGACTCTAGATTAAGTGGACTATCTGTTTTTGATGGAGCCTTAGGGCTTGAGATGGGTGTGGCCTGAGAGCTCTGTTTGGTGTGCCAAAGGTGACACTCCCAGGTTAGGCGTGGTAAACCTCTCTCTCTCTCTCTCTCTCTCTCTCTTTTTTTTTTTGATTCAACAGGGAAGTTATTCTGCACAGCTGAACAAAGTTGGAGGTAGTTAGCAGGCAAATGATATACCCACAGGAGCCAGAGATCAGAAGCTCTTTCCCAAGGACCACACAGGGAATCTGTTCGGCCCTTAGAGTGGGCTCAAATTCTCCTTCAGTCTCCCACTGGGTTGCCAAAGTTACGGAATTGTAGCGTCTCTGGAGAGTGCTCACGTGAATTCCGTGAGTTCTCTCCCCCACCGTCTCTTTTTTCACAGTCTCAGTTCAGTAGCACCATAAATTTACTAAGTCCTAATCTCCTGTTAATTCGCCCCACCCAGAGTCAGGTTTTACTGCTAGGCTCAGGGCCGGTGCAGACCTGAGGTCGCTCTGCTTATGACGTATGTCCAAGATGGCGCCTGCTCTTTGTCTTGCTTGCCCTTGAGAGGTGAGCGGAGAGAGAGAAACCCGTGTCCATACCAGTCACCTTTTTTTTTTTCCCTCTCTCTCTCTTCCAGTTAGCTTGGTGAAGTCCCCCCCGCCCCGGGGGTCGTTCCCTCTAGTCTCCTCTCTCCGCTTGCCTGCCGGTGTCTCAGGTTATTGAGGTTCGGCTCACCTCGCGTTCCAGCGCTGGTGTGTTGAGTCTGCCGCTGATGTCCCGAACTGTGGGCTCCCACGCTCTCCATGCAGGTCTGCTCCCCTTCCAGCGCCGATGTGTGGACTCGGAGCCCTGGACTTCCCAAGTCTCCCCGCTGTTGCACTCCCCTTCGAGCACTTGCGCGCAGACCCTGCAGCTTGCGCAGCTCAGTCCCGCGGCTCGGCTTCCGCGGCTCAGTCCCGCGGCTCGGTCCTGCGGTTCGGCTTTCGCGCGCGGTGGGCGACCTTGTTCTCCCAGTAGGTCCTCCGATTCACGCCCACTGGATCCAGAAGAGTTTTGTCTGCAATATTTTCCTGGTTCTTTTTTCTGAGGCTACCGTAACTCCCCTTTTATTAAACTAAATTTTCCCGGACTATCGGTGCGCGCCCTCACTATTCCGCCATCTTGGCTCCGCCCCCGATGCATTGTTATTTAAACTAACTTAGAGAATACTCTCGTGGGCAGCTCTAAGAATCGGGCACTGCTTCATTAGGGGCTGAGTTAAAGGATGGCAGTCGCTGTATTTGTGGAAAACATTGACTTCATTGCTCACTCATCATCTTTCCCTGTTGCAAAAGCTACATTCTTGGCCATATGACGTACACAAATGCCCCTCTTCTTTTTCTCTGCACAGTTTGTCCAAGAACTTACCGAAGACTCAGGCTGTTCCCTGCTCTGTATCTAGTAGTTACGCTGGCTTTTCCCAAGTACTTTCACATGTGTTACGGTCAGCTCTCACGTCCACTTAGCCACGATGGAAGGAACAGCAACCTGTCTCCCTTTCATTTCACAATTAGGAAATATTTAGATGGCCCAAATGGTTCTAATTCTTCTCTTCCCACTATCGCTTCAATAGCGCTGTCAATATGTCTACATGTCTCTGAAATGTCAGTCTGATCGGGTTTCTCCTCTGCTCGGTTTCCCAGGATTAAGATGTAAAGCCCAAACTCTTTGCTTTGCATGCAGGGCCCCTCATAATGCAGCTCCATTCTGTCTTGCCAGCTTCAGTCTCTAATCTTTCTTCCTCTTTTCCTTAAGCGTCTCCCTCAGCAACATCCTCCATGCTGCCTTAAAAGGATTTTAACACCTCTCCAACCACCTCATGCCTTTGCTCCGATGTTCCTTTATCACCCATATCAATGTCTCTCTTCATTTTAGAAAGTGTAGTTTCATGAAGCCTGCTTTCTGAAGTCTCCCCTAACCTTGAGTTGTAGCCAGGAGTACTGACTTACCCATCTTCTCTGTTTCTAAGACAATGTGAACACCACTGCTATAAATACCACTACTCACACTATTCCCCAATCAACTGTGTGCCTTGTTTTCACCATCATTCTGTACACTGCATGTCTACTTCCAGAATGCAGACTGTCTCACCTTCAGTGTTTCACAAGTGCTGGATGGAAAGGGAATAGGAATGTGGTGGGTACAAAGACGGAATGTCAGTCCACAGGAAGATGAGGAGAAAGGAATACCCAGCATCCCTTAGTGATTAAGAGCACAGGGCTCTGGGATCAAGTCCTGACTTGATAGAGAACTAAATATGCAACCAGAGACCAGTGATTTAACCTCAGTAAATTCCTCATCAAGAAGACTGATGATATTTTCTTCGGAGAGGGGGTGGCATGTTGATTAAGGGAGACAGAATATATAAATGGTTCACTCTGAGTTGGTACTGTGTCATAGCTTGTCTCCTGTGGACCTGTCTCTGTGCTGGGCACTCACTGCTGCTTCAGGGTAAATGAAGGGCATGATGTGTGCCCACAAAAAACAGTCTAGTAAAGCAGCATTAAATAAGAAATGATGCTTGGCCACAAGGAATGAAGGGAGGAAGAGCACAGATAATCAAAGAGCTAACTGGAGAGGTGGGAGCACTGCTGGACACTTCCTGTCATGTATGCTTAGGTAGATGCCTTTGAAGAAACACCTGGAAAAATGATGATTGGAATCCATGGAGACAGAAGCAGCATGCTGGCTGGGCAGCAGGAAGCTGTGACTGATGTCAACCAGATGAAAGCCTGCTCTGGGGGCCCAAAGCTACCTGGTTACTCCCTAGGCTATGGTAAGTCGCATTCTCCCTTATCCTCTTCACCATTACCAAAGATAAGTGTGGCTAAGGTCTTAATTGATTTTATAAATGCTTATATTTATTGAACATTTACTATGTACCAAGTAATTTGCCAAAGTGAGGCAGTTATGCAAGGGTTGGAAGTTCTGGATTTAGAAGCAGAAGATCTGAGTTCAAATCGAGGCTCTAAAGTTAGCTTTGTGGTAAGTAACTTCATATTCCTGCAGCTCAATTTCTTCCCTTATAAAGATGGATCATAATACAGATTGCACAGAGGTTTTATGAGGACCAAATCTGAAGTACATCATATGATAAGTGCTCAGTTAATGTTTATTCTTTCCTTTTTCTATCTACTGGGTCCTGTTGCCATTGACACACTGATGATACAGTATGGTATGGTATGGTATCATTTGCTAATGTGATGTAGATTGCATTTTACTTGGGTGTTAGTCAAGACTCTTAATTGCAAACAATACTATTTGAATCGTAAGTTGTTCAAAAAACAAGAAAGGGTCACTGGTATAAAGGAAGGATCCAGGGACACAAACAGTATCCAAAAACTCAGTATCACGTTCGCAATGCCTGGATTTGTTCCCCTCTGGGAGCAACTTTTACCCTTGCAGAGGTAGGATGGAACCCAACAGTGATAGGTCTACAACCTATCCTCTGATAAATCTCATAGGAGGATTAGCATTTTTTTTACCTTCCCCAAAAGTTATAAGAAAAGACAATATCTAAGTCTTATTGGCCTTGGTTGGGTCACATACTACCCTTGAACCAATCATTGAGGATAAGGGATATGATGCTCTCATTGACCCAATCTATATCATAATCTCATCCCTGGAGCTGAGGCTAGAATCAGTTCTACCAAAACTATGTGCCATAAGATGGAAGGATTCCCCAAGGAAAAGAAGAGAGCTATTACCAGGAAAAAAATGTGGATATGGATAGAGAAAGCAGATTTCCATTGCTGCCCGCTAATGTGTTACAGAATTATGAAAAAATACTCAGTGATCATAAGATGGACTCAAGGCCCCTTAAAGTCTCCATCTTTTTGTTTTGTTTTATTTTTTGTTTTTTTTTAAGCTTTTATTTAATGAATGCAATTTTCATAGGTATAACTTTAGGAATATAGTGGTTTTTCCCCCATACCTACCCTCCCACTCCCGTCCCACCTCCTATTCCCTCTCCCATCACATCCCATTCTTCATTAAGATTCATTTTTAATTAACTTTATATACAGAAGACCAACTTTATCTTAGTTGGCCTTGCCTGTGCTACACACTTCTCTCCCTGTAAACTCTCTGTTCTGTCTTTAGTTACTGACAGTGTCATGTGCTTCCATGCCCCTGTGGTGTTTCGTGGTCTTGTCCCTCTATCTGGAATGCCTTTATGCTTCCTCTCTACTTGTTGCTGTCCTATTCATCCTGCAAGATCTATCCCCAAAGAGGCCTCCCTTACCTTCTTCCTACCTAGATTTCTCTTTATCACTTTGCAGGGGTCATAAATCCTCATGTCTTTGTTTCCATGACACTTAAACAGCAAGAGAATGAATGTGTTTCAAGATTATAATTTGGAATCAGAGATTTCAGGGACCCAGGACCACCACACACTATTCCTGCAACCTTGGGAAATTTACTTAATTTCATGTGCAAATGAGAGTGATCCTACTTATCTCCTAGGGCTATTTGCCACAGTTTATAAAGCATCTGGTTCATTTGCTAAGTTATTGCTAGTTCTCTGCCTTTCTTTTCTTTTTGTTTGTAAGATTGTAGCATACCTTATATATAATCCATGGTTCATGTGATATGTCCTTTGTGTGCACTGGGGACACCTTTAGATCAGAGGGCATTGGTGTTATTCTCTGTATCTGTACAAACTGGCCCAGAGTCTGATGTAATGGGTGTCCCCAACAGAACTTTGTTGAATGAAGGATAAAAGAATTAATCATGTCTCAGTTTCTGAGAATATGGTAGATTAGACAATCTGAATGATTCTCCTGACCAAATAATAATAATAATAAATTATAAACATCCATAAGAAGTATCACTGAACTGATGTGAAAAGCCAGCATCCATAGATCTACAGTAACCAGGCACCCGTGGTGGTGAGTATAAAGCTAGCTTTTGCCCTGAGGGGTTTTTGCTTGAGTTCCTGTTTACTGCACAGTATATAAAAGGCAAGAGCAATGTCCTAGGGCCTTCCCAAAGTAAGTTTATTATAGGAGACCTCTTTATAAAGTTGGGACCCCAAAAAGATTACATCCATACTTTAGCAATGAACAAGACATGAATCCCATTGGAGAGAAGAAAACTTCCCCATTTTAACCCTCATACAAGGTAAAGGAAAAAGAAAACCTGTTACATAAACTGATCCTCATGCATATCTGCACTGCAAATTTACACTGTCTATAAATTAAATTGGGTCCAAAAGACACCCAGTTTAGTCTTAAGTGGTGCCAGCTTGATACACCTCCTAGACAACTGGTAGAAACAAAGATAAATTCTCTTTGGTAGGTGTGAATATTTAGCCTATTGATTAAGATACTTGTTAAGATGGACACAACCCATATCAGAGTGCCTGGGTTTAAATCACAACTCTGTGTCTAGATTCCAGCTTCCTACTAACGCACAACTTTGAAGGACAAGGTGAAGACTCAACCTGTTGGGTTCCTGCCACCCTTGTCAGTGACCTGGATTGAGTTTCTGACTCTCACCTTTGGGCTGGCCTAGTCCTAGGTGTTGCAAACATTTGGGGAATAGACTAGTAGATGGGAAATCTCTCTGGTGTGCTCCCATTCTCTCTCTCTCTCTCTCTCTCGCCCCCCACCTTTGCCTCTCAAATATTGAAAATAGTTTCTTTCATGTCCTGTATAGATTTTAGTAGTTTGTGCAGTTGCTTCTGATTATGTCTATGTAGTCTTATCAATTTTTTGAATTCCATTTCTTGTATTTCTTCCATCTCATCATCTTTACAATCTAGTATTGAAGTGCTGTTCTTCTGCGGGTATCATGTTGCCTTCCTTCTTGTTTCTTGAATCTGTGTTTGTTCTTCAGCATTTGTGGAGATACTCAATGGTTTCTTCTTCTTTTTTTTTTTTTTTCCTTGCTGTGGTGGCTTTTATCTTTGTACTATGACTTTGTAGATAAGTAGAATGTCTGCATTGGTACCTGTTATCTAGTTCCCTACCTATAACCCCTCCCCTGACGCTGCCCAAACACTAGGAATCACTATTCTCAGTTATGCTAACTTTTTTTAAGCTTCCACATATAAGAAGGAGCCTACAGTGTTTGTCTTTCTGTGTCTGACGTGTTTCATGTCACAAAATTATCTGTAGTTCCAACCATTTTGCTGCACATGACAGAGTTCTGGTTTTTTCTTCTTAACACTTCATTTAAGAATAGTTTTAAATTTATACCACAAAAATTATAAGGTAGTAATATAAATAGTCCCCATATACCCTTTACTCTACTTCCTCTATTATTATCTTATATTAATATATTTATCAAAATTACTAAACCACACCCAACTTCCCTTACTTTTTGCTATCCAAATTTCTTTTATTCTTCCCAGCTTCTAGTAATCAACATTCTCTCTCATTTGGGAGCTAAAACTAAAAACTCAATCTAAACCCAAAATTGTTGGAAGATATAAATTTGCAAATCAAGGAATGCTATTATGTTTTCAGGGACGATAAAGAAAGGAAATCCACATTTAGCAATGTCCTAGAGAAACCAAAGAACATCAAGGGATAAGAAAACATCTTTAAAAGCCTTAAAAGCAGACAATGCAGCTGGCGCCACAGCTCACTAGGCTAATCCTCCGCCTTGCGGCGCTGGCACACCGGGTTCTAGTCCTGGTCGGAGCACCAGATTCTGTCCCGGTTGCCCCTCTTCCAGGCCAGCTCTCTGCTATGGCCAGGGAGTGCAGTGGAGAATGGCCCAAGTGCTTGGGCCCTGCACCCCATGGGAGACCAGGAGAAGCACCTGGCTCCTGCCATCGGATCAGCGCGGTGCGCTGGCTGCAATGGCTATTGGAGGGTGAACCAACGGCAAAGGAAGACCTTTCTCTCTGTCTCTCTCTCCCACTGTCCACTCTGCCTGTCAAAAAATAAAAAAATAAAAAATAAAAAAAAGCAGACAATGGAAAAGATCAATAACTTACGAAGAAACAAGGAAGCAGGCTGCTGAGTTTCTAACAAGAGTGTGTAACCAGAATGTAGTTCTGCTGAAGATACTGGATGCCAACCCAAAATACATGCCTAGTGAAATGCCATTCAAGAATTTTAAAAAATGATATATTAGAAAAATTAAAAAACAGGATATCTTAATGGTAAAATGAAGTTCACTGAAGGAAATTATAAAACATTTACTTTAGACAGAAGAAAACTAATTCCAGGTAGAAAGTTTGGAATGCAAGAATGGAAGCTAAACAGGAATACAGTATCAGTTGAGTAAAACAGTAATAATATCAAAGTGAGAGGTATACTAAAATGTTATAATATATTGAATACTAATAGCACACATATTTGGAAGGTGATCACACTTAATGCATCCGAAGGCTTCTTATTGTTTAGGAAGAGAGTTCAAATGTTAACTTAATAATTTGAAGTTACGAGAGCTGGGATAGATGCATCAACAGATGCCATTGAAAGAGTGAGAAGGCAGTCACCGAGTTAGAGAAGTTATTTGTATTATGTACACATTTGACCAAGGATTCATGAATGGAATATATAAATCTCCCTTGAATTCAGAAAATGTGCACTGGAAATCAGGAAAAGAAAAAATATAACGAAATGATGAAAATATTTTTTTTTTATTTTATTTTTTTATTTTTTTGACAGGCAGAGTGGACAGTGAGAGAGAGAGACAGAGAGAAAGGTCTTCCTTTGCCGTTGGTTCACCCTCCAATGGCTGCCGCGGCCGGCGCGCTGCGGCCGGCGCACCGCGCTGATCCGATGGCAGGAGCCAGGAGCCAGGTGCTTTTCCTGGTCT